AGGAGCCAGTTGAGGTGGCTCAGGCATTTGGGTAGAAGCAGAAATGCTTTACTTGAAGTGACCGGCAGATCGTATTAAGAAGCTCATAAGTGGCTGTTGTGTTTAAAATGAGTGTTTATGTAATTATTTTCTGTTTACATATACAATATTTGTTTTTGTTCAAGACAGTCAAAACTGTTCATAACTTTATTATTAGTAAGCCTGCGAGTTCCCGGATCCAAGCAAACGGTTACCGGAATGCACCCTGTCAAAATAAAAGAGCTCCGATCCGGCTCAAATTAAGCCTTGGTTGTAGCCATTTCACCAAATTCTGACAATATCAATGTGTGATTTCATGCAATACTGTGAGATGATAGATTCACAGCAGCCTATGTGATGAAGATGATCCTCAGCTACAACCAAATCAAATTTTAGCTCAAGATCTGTAAAATAGGCCTTTAGCTTTTTATGAGTTGGCAAAGTTTGATTATCTTTGTAAACCATCTTGAATTGCTCTATATTCTACTGTTCATTCCTAGTTGGATTGTGGAGGCAGCAAGGTAAGGAGAGAAACATAAACATCACTCTCAGCTGCCACCTCATCAAATTTTAAGTCAATATCTATAAAGTTAGCAAATTTGGTATTTTTAAGGTCAGTCAAATGTGGCAATCATCTTTTATGGGGTTGATTCCAAAAGTTATTCAGTAACAAATATGCATTCATTGATAATGTTCTGCAAGTTTCATTGAAATTTGTTCATTAGTTCATGAGCTATGTTGGTTACATCACAAAGAATATTGCACATGGACAAAAACAACATTACACATTGTTGAAAGGCAGTAAGTTTAGACAAGAGGGAAGAGTCAGGCAATAAAATATCTGAAAGTGGCACAAGAGCTGTATCATCCTTCAGTATATGTCAAGTTTTATGTTTGGGAATCATTAAATGGATACTACTTAATAATTTGACTCGAACTATGTTGTCTTTGTTTTTCTTGAAATAGTAAGTTTATTTTGGCTGCTCTCTTCTTCAGGGGTTGCCATAGCAAAGATATGGTGATTGTTTTGCTTTGGATGACCTTCCTGACATAATCTGGGCTTGAACCCATAGCCTCAGGAGTGTAGGACCGCAGCACTGGCCACCAAGCTATCGCAGCCTCCTTTGTTTTCTTTGAAATATTGATTTAAAATTGGAACAAAGTGTGTCTTTACAAAAAGCTGTTAAAAACAAAGTGCGAAAGATCCCGTTTATGGTTGATTCTTTGCAATATCGTTTTGTGCTGACAGAGCACTGGTTCATTTCTTGAGTTTAGGGGCCTGTGAACAATGCATCAAAGTTAAGTATTTTGAAAACCGCTAAAACATTTCTGGGAGAATGGTCAGTTACTAGACCAAATAAATCTATGTAAAAGAAGCCAAGTCCAAAGAAAAGATGTTAATGTCCCAACAACTTTTTAAACCTGATAAGCAAATAAAAACCTAAGGTTTGAGTAAATAATGTCACGTTGACTTGTGGGTATATTTCTTTGCAGTAACTGAAACAATCCAATGCAGTGATTGTAACTAAATTAAAGTTGTGCTTCACTAAATGACTATCATTACATAGATATCTCTGTGGGTCACGCCTCCTGACAGTTGGTTGTCTCTCTAATAGTTATCTCATGTCATTACTGTAATCAGATAAAAGTACGGCAAAGAGCAATGTATTAGCTTTCTCATTACATCGTTAGCTTAGCCATGCATCAGAACATAAAAGCCTTTTTGTAGACCAGCAGGCAATAGATGCTTTCCAGTCATCAGGTTTATTATTTCTACGATTAACATAAGAATACACGCACACGCACACACGCACGCACGTACATTATACTGTACAAAAATTCACCTCTGCACCTTAGATCCAGAATGCAGCTGGCCGTGTAAGTTGGATGGTCATCAATGAGTCGGGGGAGTAAGTGGAGGTGATAGATGGGCACAAGGAACTCTCGGAGATGAGTTTCCCTTGGGATCAACATGGAAGGTAGGATGAACACACATAAAGTGGACAACTTTAACAGAGGGATTGATAATCTTGAAAATAAAAGAGAAAAGATTAAATAAAAAGAGAACAATTCCTGGGGTCCTTAATGCTGATGTCACATGTGGAGAGACATACCGTCTGGTCAACTGGTTGGATAGCTCTGTGGAGCGATGTTGATCAGCCAATCTATTATTCTGGTTTGCTGTGTGTAAGACAGCCTCCTTCGTTTGGCACCCCACTCTCCGACAACGACAGAAATGATGCTGGACAGATGGTATAGAGAAAAACTTGGTCAATTTTTCAAATACGTATTGAGAAAGGTTTTAATTTGGTGCTGAGTCATTCAAAACCTACTTTGGACTTGACATTGTGTAATCTTGAATAAGATCACATTCAAAACTATTTTTAATGTTTGACCAAATGGCCAAAATAGACATTCCTCAATATAAAATGATCTTAGTCAAAAACTCTGACATGAAAGGCAGCAGGTGACGCCTTCCTTCAAGGAAGCCTTTAATGATACTTACCTCCTAATTACCTCAAATCAAAAACTTGTGGCTCTGTAGTGTCATAAACTATGGACAATGTATTTTTTATAAATATGTTTTCTTAGGCGGGAAACAGAGAATATCATAGATCAGTTGCCAATACATCACAGAATAAACACAGATAATCAAACATCAATAACTGCAGAACATTTAAGGTTTTACAGAAAAGTCAATAATCAAACCAGAACTTTTCTTACCAGGGTGAAATAACGTAGGCCACATTTATAATTCAAATTATTCATGTAGGACAAAGCGAATGATCCTTTCATTTAAACAAAATTTTCTCTAATCTGTTGATTAAACTACTTTATGTCAGAATTTGAGTGAACTATTTAGGAGAGAATAGACCTTGGAAACAAAAATGGCCGACAGGTGTCCTGCTGTATTCCTCAGTAGAATCAGCGCCTCAGAACTGCTTATTGCTGATGATGTTGCTTTCTGTAGTAGTGGCAAAATTATTTTCGTAGAGCATAATACAGGCTGAAAGAAGATTTCCCACATCATCACCTCACACATGCATGAATCCACGAACATATGTGATCATATCAAGGTGTTGATGACACATGAAGCAGGCGTGCTGATTTTATGTTAAGTTTTTGGAAGTGCTGAAAGACAGAAATAAAAAAAATAAATAAATAAAAAAACCGCTCTGGCTGAGAAGAGGTGCACCTGCTAAAGTAATGGTCTAATTATGGAATAGGTGATGAAATGCTCAATGAGAGTCTGGATATCAGCAACACGTGCTAACTGTGAAAATCATCAGCTTTTACAGTGTTTTAATGTGCACAGCCTCACATGCTGCAGACTGCAGAGCAGGGTGAATGATGGTGGTGGCAGGTTTCTGGAGGGGGGGCAACCAGCATGTGATGCTCACTGTTGGAGCTGGTATTCTGAAATGAGTTGTTAAAGTTATGTCTTCTGGTTTCACCGTTTGTTTGATAAATGCACATCAAATATAGGAGAAAGTTCAGATTTTTATGAAGTGTGCTTCTGCAGAAGGGTTGTAAGCAACTAGTTGAGCACCTGCTGTTTTGTCATTAACTATTTGAAGTCAACTGTGTCTCTAAGCAAAACATCTCAAACAACTTTTTTTTTTTTTAATTGAATTTTCATCTGATGTATCTCGACAACTAGATTAACTATTTGAGTCTAAACAATTCAAGATGACTGGCACCAATTCAGAAAATGCTAATATTGTTACAATTCTGTCCAATTTTTACAGATATTTTACTAAAAACTGGTATGGCAGTAGCTGAGAGTCATTAACAATGCCTAGTCCAAGTGCTACTCGATGCACAAGGTCGTGGCTGTCACCATGTGAGATAAGTTTGGACCCAGAACGCAGACATGGCTCTTGGAGCTAAAAAAAAACCAACCTTTTATTAATTAAAAAGCAAAAACAAAAAAGCTGATGTGGCAGCAAAGAATTACACGTAGGAGGAATGTCCCACGGAGGGCAAACACAAGCTGTGGAGCTCACCGGACTGAGGCATAAAACCTAGACAGCTCTAGTGACATGAAGTTTGAGGAAGACAGACAATACAGGACAGGACAGATGAGTAATTGAAGACACCTGAGCTGAAAGAAAACTGGGACCAGGTGAGAGTGGGCATGTCAGGCTGAATGAGAAAGAAGGAAACTGACAAATGAGTGAGAGATAGCACAAGGAAGATGGTGGTGGTAGTGGTGGTGGTGGTGGTGGTGGTGGTGTGTGTGTGTGTGTGTGTGTGTGTGAAGGAAATGAAAAATACACGAATGAAAAACATGATGTACACTCTCTATACTAATAAAAAATGAAAGCCCATAAACAGACAAAAAGCACAGATCCTGACGGTTGCCTAAACTTTAGCAATACCTGTTGGAGTCAACTCTATTTTTCTGTTAGCAAAATATCTTATAAACCACTTGATGGGATTTAATGAAACCCTCAGAAAAATTTTATTGGGATATATATCTGCAATCAGTTAACATGACCAGAATGTCTAGAACAGGGTGATTTTTTTAAAAGATGATCTTAATCTAAAATTAGCATGACGGTGGGTGATATACATTTATTCATTTACCTTTTATAGTTGGTACTGCTCAGTCTGTCAGTCAGTCAGCAAGTCTGTCAGTCAGTCTGCCTGTCTGTCTGTCAGTCTGCCTGTCTGTCTGTCAGTCTGCCTGTCTGTCAGTCTGTCAGTCTGTCTGTCTGTCAGTCAGTCTGCCTGTCTGTCTGTCAGCCAGTCTGCCTGTATGTCTGTCTGCCTGTCAGCCAGTCTGCCTGTATGTCTGTCTGCCTGTCTGTCAGTCTGCCAGTCAGTCAGTCAGTCTGCCAGTCAGTCAGTCAGTCTGCCAGTCTGTCTGTCTGCCTGTCTGCCTGTCTTACAAACAGTGTTTCACTTTAAATGTGGACGAGTCTTCATTGCTGTGATTAGACGTTGGACTTTAGTTAATCATTTCCATTCTTGACACCCGGAAGTATCCACAAAGTAGTTAAGGTGAAAAGACAATACTCAAGCAGAAGACGTGTACACGTAAGTACTGTAGTTATAAAACAACACTTGTATAAAACTCGAGTTTTACAAGGTATTTTACCTGTGAGTAACGTCTGTGTGATAGTTTGGAGATAACCGAGCAGCCCTTGAACCTGTCACCAACGCTGTTAGCTAGAAGGCTATACTGTTATAACATTAATGCTAATGGGGCTGCAGTTGCAGGTAAATTAATGGGAACTAACGTTTGCATAAGAATAAAGGTTAACAAACTTGTGACATGTGGTTTAAAGTTTGAATTATTAGTAGGATGATGTTTTAAATTACAATGAACAGTAAATAAATACTAATATTTACTCTGTAGCGTGCGCTATTTATAGTACAAACTGAACTGCTCTCTACAGATGTGAACATCATTTGCTGGTAATATGTGACATTGTTTTCTGATCAATTTAGCTGCTGCTTTAATTATTTTTATTTTATTTTATTATGGCCTATGAAACATGTTAAAACATGTTCCAGCATTATCATGTAATATGCTTGAGGAACAATTTTCATTGCAGTCCTCATTAACCTGCTATTTTAGATTAAAAAAATAAGATATTTGAGCTATTTAGAGTAAACTTTGTAACTTTGTTCATAAGACTCCAGTATGTTTGAATAGATGTTTAAGTTTTTAAAACTCACTGTTTTGATTTGGGGGGAAAGGCTCATTTAAACAGATTAATGTTAGTAAGATATCTTTCATTCTTTTGGCTAAATTGCCATCCTGCTTCATTTGAAAAAGTACAGCTATCTAACATTTGTTAACGAGACAGCCATTTCTAGAGTAAATCCTCTAATTTGATCAGCTTAATTGCAATAGATTTTGTAAATATAAAGATTGAATGCAGCAACTTTGTCACTTAGTACAAGAATGCTTTAAAGCTAATCTAATCAAACTGCAAAAGGGAACCTTTGCCAAGCCATTTACCCAGTAAAAGGCTTGCATATCCATTAGGTCAAAATTCCTCTAGGCAGAAATAGATAGCAATTGATTGGAACTTCCTTGAAAATATGTGATCACTCCCCCCCAATCTGTGATTTGGTGAAGTCACTGGGTGGTCTCCAATTGCTGTTTGGTCACTGGTCTCACTTGTCATTTGATTCTGGATTAGACGACCGCTTTTTCTTTTAGAGGCTAATAAGTCTCATCAAGAAGTCAATATTGGAGCCATTTAGACCAAGAAAAAAACAACAACGCACGGTCCATGTCAGGAATACAAGAATGCCATCTCCATTTTATTTTGGATCTGTGCTTTTATTCCAGTACTTGTTTCAAATGTCATATTTATTTATTTCTTTAATAAGGCAAAGACAACTTTAATTGAATAGGAAAGAAAACAAAGTCTAGTTGTTGTGGCGTGTTTTCTTTAAACTTCTTTAAAGTGCCATAAGTATTGTGAGGTTTCTCTGCTTTCTTAACAGATCTCCAAAATGTCTAAAATCGGCAGCCAGCTGCCCAAAGACCCCATCTCTGCTGTTGGAGTGGTCACTTCACTCATCAAAGCGCCTGATGGTTATTATGTTGTAAGTACAGATGTCTTTATCCCTTGAGATGCATCAGTATGTTGTATTATCACCCAGTGCTAACATACAAAGATGCACAACGTTTTTGCCTGGGTGTGTGTATATGTGGCTGATAGCAAAATATATCATAATCCAATGTTCACATTTTAATGAATTCCTCAAAAATAATCATTGGATGTAAATTTACAACTGATTAGATTTTAGAGTCAATCCAATTAAAGATGGCTGCCACGGCCAGCTGACCTTTTAAAAATACACAAACGGCTGTAGCTCAGCCAGTTTTACAAATGTCGAGCTAAGATTGGTTGTGGAAGAAGCTGAGACTGATTTCCAACACATCGTTTGAGCGTTAACGGATTTTGACTGTTTCACTGTTAAAACTTTAACGATAATTGTTGGCCAGTCCTGTTATGTCAGAAAAATATGTAATCAGCCACGAGACAGGCTTTAATGAAACTTTCAGAATGTAATCACTGAGCGTACATTTAACACTGATTCATTTTCAGCTTAATCCAATTCAAGATGATCTACAGTTTATTGACAAAAACCAATACAAAAATTATTATAATTAAGTCAAATACAGACAGTGAGCTAACATTTGATAAACTAGTACCTGAGAGTCATTCACAACACATTGTCTAAATCTCTGTATTGATGGCGAGTGGACGAAGTCAGTTGCTTGTATTAAAAATGCTTTTTAAACTTAGACAGGATTAACATCTGAATAATGCTCATTTGATGATATTCCCTGGCACCAGTGGGGGTTAGTTGCCATGCAAAATGTTTCCCTGCCTTTAAAATGCTGTTCATACTCTTGTCCATGGACAACTTGACACAAAGAGCCAGAGATTTAACAGTCTGCTCTCATACATGAGCCAGAGCTGCTGCCAGAGGTCTTTTCTTTAGCTTATTGTTTTATGTCAATATATCAGCCTTTGAGTTAAACATTTATTAACCGTAATAATCAGGTGAGTCAAGTTTGAACTGGGAACCTCTGTACACACAACCTCTGTGTGTGTGTGTGTGTGTGTGTGTGTGTGTGTGTGTGTGTGTGTGTGTGTGTGTGTGTG